ACCTCCGAAGGTGGTGGAGAATGACCGAGCGAAGATCCTGTGGGACTTCCAGATCCAGACTGACAAGAGGGTAATGGCGAACCAACCAGATATCGTGATCATAGATAAAGGGCAGAGGAAAGCCGTTGTAGTGGATGTAGCGGTCCCAAGTGATGGAAACATCAGAAAGAAGGAACACGAGAAAATCGAGAAATAACAAGGGCTCAGAGAGGAGCTGGAGAGAGCCTGGAAGATAAAGGTGACAGTCGTGCCTGTGGTGGTCGGAGCACTCTGGGCAGTGACCCCCAAACTAGATGAGTGGTTGCAACAGATGCCGGGAACAACATCGGACATCTCAGTCCAGATAAGCGCAGTGCTGCGAACAGCAAGGATACTGCGCAGAACCCTCAAGCTTCCTGGCCTCTGGTAGAGGACCCGAGCTGAATGGGGGACGAACACCACCCGAGGGGTGAGACGAGGAAGGGGATATATATATATATATGACGGGGGTCACAACTGTGACAGTCTCAAGCTCCACGTCGCTGCCACCTCAATAAGACCAGACGCTTGGAGTGTGGCTTTTCTCTCTTTTTTTAATTGCTGAAACACAGTATGGCAGGGAGAATGGTGAAGTCGCATTTGGTCGCGGACATAGTATGTGACTTCCCTCGTAGCTCTGCCTGAGCTACCTCATCGTCTTAGCAAAAGAAAATAAACAACAAGACCAAATACAAAACATGGGTGATCGTATAGTGATTATTTACAAAAAAAAGGAAAGATGCACACACACTGCTATTTACGTGATGCCGCCGAACGCATCACACGCAGCAGAACGGCTGCGCAACGCACAGCAATGGCGGCCACGAAGAACCGCGGACACACGCCAGCAACAAACACAACCAGCCATATGAAAAATGACATGAAAAACTTTATACAGTACAACCAAAAGGGAAACAAACATTACCTGAAAAACAGTATGGCAGGCAGAATGGTGAAGTCGCATTTGGTCGCGGACATAGCTGAGCAACAGAAAAGCACTATTAACTTAGCAGGTAAAACTTCCATTCGACAAAACTTCATATTAAAGAGCAATACAAAAAGCAATTTGGACTTGGGACAAATCAGGGAACTAATTAAAGACATCGTACTGTAAAAAAAGGGAAAACAAAGTGAAATATTGTCGTTAAACTATAAATGAATCCGGACCGTCAATGAAAAACGACTCACCATGTGACTTCCCTCGTAGCTCTGCCTGAGCTACGGTGGAGACTGGTGCCACACTGTGTGCTGTTGCGTCACTTCCGCGATAATTTAATGAACGCAATATATCACTCCGTTACACACATATATATATATTCTGAACTTGAATGTAAACATGTGTGTCATTCATCAACATAAATCCATCCATCCATCCATTATCTCACGCTCACAATCATAATTATCTTGAAATAAAATGTAGGCAAAAACAACAAACTAACATTACATCAGGCCATGCACCTACTGCACAGATTAAAAAAAAAACAATGACAGCTTTATGATTCCTTGATATTCGTTGGCCAAAATTATGTGCAAAGCAGTTAGCACAAATTCCAAGCAGAAACCAAGGAATTGCTTTGTTTTTCTTGCATTAGAATACTGAGCAGCAGTGGCGGGCCGTGCATTTCAATCTTAGGCCTTCAGTGACGTCACATACATACACAATATAGGCTCGTCGAGCAGCACTTAATTTCAGGAGCATTGAAAACCATCAAATATGCATTCACAATTAAGAGCAGGAAACTAAATTTACAGATAGTCAAAAATAAAAAGATGATTTAAAAATACGAAATAAAATGCCACCCAAATTACGCTGTGTGATCTTAAACAAGTCTGTCCAATAAATTGCGCAATGTCGCAGTTTCATATAAGACACCAACCAAACAA